GAGATAGTTATCAAACGTGTCTTAAGAAAAAGCTTTATATTTTATCTGTTATTTTCAGTTATTAATCTCTGTACAGGTTAAGTATTTGACCAATCTCGCAACCACCATAAAAAATTAGGAAATAAATATAAATTATGCCTCTTTCATTCTAGAATGAACACAAATTATAACACAAAAACATAAATGTTTAGACTAAATAGCTTAAATATCATAACATTATATATTTATTATTTTTATTATATTGACCTTTCAGCCTTACCTGGCTAACAATACAGAAATGTTTATCTGTGTTTTTTAATATTTACTTTTAAATTAAGAAACTGAGTAATTTATAGTACTACAATTTGAATTATAATCTACAGTTCGATACCAAACTTATTGACACAAATTCATGAAATAGTAGTTCAATAAAATTTTAAATGCGAGTCAATAAATGAGATGAAATGGCCTTTCACCCCTGACCCATCTCGAAAGGATTAGCAAATTCCTTATAATTCAAAATCTGAATAACATTAATAGAAATTATTAAAAATTAGTTTAATATTTATATTATTAGTTTCTATTCATGCTTACATGATGCACATCATAAGGTCAGGCAGAAAGTGCATATTATTTGTCATTGCTCACACACACACAAATTACTAACAGGTGTCAAGTCAATATTACACTAGAAAAATGTTGAAGGTTGAAAATAGACTAAAAGAACTATGTTCTCTTGGTTAATGAAGGAAACTTGGGTTAAATTTTTCTTCTTTACCACTTTTGCTGCAGGTTTGTGTACTTTGACTTGTATGACAATACATGCGATAACTGAGATTTCATTAAAGGTCTTAAGTATCTTGTACACAAATAATGACAGTTTTACAATTAAGATTTTTTACTAAAAACATGGTTTTTTATTGTAGTTACTCGCATTCAAACTATTAACAAATTGAATGCAAGGTGATTTTCATTTTAAGTATGAAAGTACTTTTATTTGTTTTATAGTTTTTTTATATTTTATTTTCATAATCTCTAGAACCTCCTAAAAGAATATCAAAAGTTTTTTTAAGGCAAATGTTTATATTTTATCTTTTATTTTCTCTACCATATCACTAACAACGCAATGAAATAATCAAAATTAGGAAATAGAAAATACGTACCTTTTAATTTTTTGTAGAATATCTTTATAAAGATTTTCCTTTTCGAACATAGTTAATTTTTAATGTTTTATTTTTCTTTCTTGTTCTTTACCACGTATAATTCACCTGAGCACAAGTCAATGGTGCTCTCAAGGCATATTACAGTTTCTTTGAAAGATATGTGCAACCCTTTGACAAAATTTTTGTTCAGTGCAAAATATCCTGCCTTGAGAATGGAAGCAAAGTAAGATGTACACTTAAAAATTGTTTAAGCCTTTTAATTATGCATTCTAAACCATAAGTAAAATATAATAGTAAGACCTAAAGACAATTTAAACTGTATCTCTAACTATAACATACTTAGGTAAGAAACAACCGTAAGTGCTATAGTTCATGAAGCAGCCAACCATACTATAGTCAATTTCATATAATCTGTGACAACTTTGCACCAATTCCAAAATAATGATTGTTAGATTATAGTATAAAATGACCTCTTTCTAATGTCTATACACGTTATATACATATCTACATGGAGACTATAAAGCTCAAACAAATCTGTTGAAGGTAGGCACGACAGCTGTCAAATTTGAAAAAATTATTGCTAGTTTTAACTTTATTTTGTTCAGAGAACTCTGAATCAAACGAGTCAAAATGTTATTTAAGCATCTCATTGTTTAGACATACCTCTACAGTACTGCCATTGTATCATTGAAAATACAGAGTGCCAAAGTAGAAAATTTTTATAGCTCGTTGGTCACAATACAACTGAAACCTTAAGTAATTTTTTAAAGGTATATTTTGAAATAAAGGGCTTAAAACTTGGATAAAATAAAACCTAAAATCATAACTCCTTGTGCAGAAAAATGCATTTAAAAAGGCTCCCGTTGCAAAAGGTTTAAAAGGAGATTTTGTATGTCAATAGAATAATTCATATGTACGAATGAGAATTCATGCACCTTACACAAAAAATAATTCACAAACCTCCTCTTCCTCGCATAACACCAGGAGGACCTCCAAGTCCTCTACGCAATGGTGGTCTTCCTCTTGTAGGTGGTCCACCTCTGCCTACAGGACCACCAGGTGGCCCCCCTCTTCCACGTGGTGGAAACATTCCCCTAGTACAACAGTAAAAATGTTTTTCTTCTTCTTGCAAATAATAATGACTTAGAAAAGTGTTGAACATAATTTTTAGCATCCAAAATTGGAAATCAGAGATAACCATGTGTATATTGATCACTTTAATATCATTTTATATAAAACTAAATCAAACTTTTTTATTGAATAATTTTGAACTCTCTTAAAAAATTCATTTTTTAAATATATGAAAAGATGTTAACAAGTTTATTTTC